ACAAGTATTCTTGTCCCTTAAATTTTAAAATGGGTGGTTGTAAGAGTGTCATTAAATAGACAAAAAGATTCAAAAAAATTCTCAAACTTCATAAGACACCCCAAGCCATCCAATTTGACATTTAATGAGTGAAAATAATTGTAACATTTATGTAACAATCCCTAATAAAAATATTTTCAGCAAAATAAAATAACTAAAATACCTCTAAAATCTCTAATATGTGAAGAAATGCAGTTGTATTTTCCTATGAATTGGTGTCAAATTTTTGCCATGGGAAAAATGTGTAGATATACATGCGTAACGTAATTTTTACATGCAAATATTTTCATATCCACCAATGTGGGAATTTATTTTGGGTCCGTGTTCGCTTATAACCATACCGAAGATTCCCGTCAATGGAAATTAACAACTTCACCCTTTCTATCAATGCTTAGTTCTCTGAATAATGAGGAGAGCAAGTCCAACAGTTTTATCGAAGTTCATTACTGGTAGATTCGTTGCCTTTGTAGAGCTCAACTGAGGTTGAACACTCGAGCCTCTTTCTCACACTATGCATTTTAGGGAGAGGGAGAGAATCGATGGTTATACTTAAATGGGATTCTTTATAAAGGGACTATTTATCTCTTATATATGGAGGTCATTCCTACTCATTAGATGTCAAATTGGATGGCTTGAGGTGAGTCATGAAGTTTGAGAATTTGTTTTTTTGGAACTTGGTATCTAATCAATGACACTCTTATAACCACCCATTTTGAAATTTAAGGGACAAGAATGATTGTGACTTCCATGTACAAAAGATACAATCCCTATTTAAACCATAGTTATCAGGAGCGGGAGCGTCGGATCGAAGGCTGCCTAAAGCTCAAGAGCTCGGGGAGCAAGTTCCGGTGAGGGTAAAAGTTACAGATCAAGATCCCGTGTGAATAGAGAGCGCGTTCCTGATACATTGGGATCGAGATCCTTATTTAATGGGAACACATATCATGTAAAATGGGATCGTATTCCCATATTCATTAGGATTGCGCTCTCATAGACAACTGGAACGACATCCCATTTAAAGTTTAGTCGCGCCCCCATTTGAAAAAATGTGTTCCTATTTGGAATAGATCGAACTCCATTCAAGGTTGGATCGCGTTCTGCTTAACTTGGAGCCAATCTCCATTTCTCCTTTCTTTCTCTCTCGACCAGACATTCACAACCTCTTCAATCTCTGCACCCTTGATCCAACGGACCCATCTGCCAAGATGTGCCCCTCCCCCTCTCTAACTTCATGAACACATTTGTCGACTTCACAATGAGTGGATTATTTTTCTCTCCTCAGAAAGCAAAATGACAACAAAAATCCACATACTCATCTCAACCTCGCTTGTTAGTAATTGGGGACCTCTATGGCGATCTCCAAAAGGCCAAACAAGCTCTGAAAATGGCTAAAATCTTTGATGAAAATGATCATTGGATTGCAAACAACTCCATGGCTATGAAGCTTGGTGATATCCTTAATAGAGGAGGAGAAGAGCACAAGCTCCTTTATTTTTTAAAAAAACTCAGGCAAGACACAGAGAAATCAATTGGGAAGCTGTTGATTTTACAGGAAAACCATGAAAATAGAAATATACAAGGGGATTTTAGGTATGTTATAAAAGCTGGCCTTTACGCATTCAAGAATTGAGGTGACTGGTTTTCTATAGGAATTCAAAAGAAAAACCTTTGTAACGGATTGGAAAAGCAAATTAACATTTTTAATGGAGTAACAAAAAATTATCCATCTGGATATAGGGCTAGAATAACTGCTTTGAGTCCTGGAGGCCTAATTTCTATGTGTTTTTTAACTGATAACCGTATCGTGTTAATAGTGGGTGGTTATGATTTTGTTCATGGTGGGATCCTCCCTAAGAATGGAGTTCTGGGAACATAGGGATCGCGATCTTAAAACTCTAGGAGTGGGGATCTAATTTGTTGGGAAACCACATCTACAATGTTATGGAACGCGTTCCGTGGGACAGTGGGAGTGAGATCCGTGCGGTAGCGAGAGCGAGCTCCGTTGTGAATATGATCGAGAATCCTAAAATAGGAGTGAGCTTCTAAAACGTTGGGAATGGGTTCCAGACGAGATCCCAGCCACGGAGCGCCGGAGCTTGGTTCCGGAGAGGGAGTGCCGCCCTAATTGCGTGCTTCCGATAATTATAATTTAAACCTTATTATAAGATATTATCTACAAAGAGACCGTTTACTTCTTATACAAGAGGTAACATTCATTCTAGTCTTTTAAATTGCAAAATGGGTGGTAGTAAGAGTGTCATTGAATAGACACAAAATTCCAAAAAAAAATTTCTCATGCTTCATGACTTACCCCAAACGATCCAATTTTTGAGTGATAGTAGTTGTCATCTCCTTGAAATAAAAACAATCCCTTTCCCTACAAGTTCAAATAAGAGAGGGCACCGCCTCTTTTATTAAATAGCTCATATTTGTGTTCTTCCTACTCATCACGCACAACCAACCGAAAGAAACGATTTCAATATGAGAGAGTATTGGGGAATGTCACCTGATTGTGGCGATTAGCATCTGACCTCAACGACAAATACCGGTTAATTAAATAACTCTTCAACCACTTTACCCCACCACCGAAATGACCACAATTTTCTCTCTTATGCACAAAGCATCAATCATTTTGATAGCCCAATTTTTTTTTTGAAAAGTAAGTTGGCTAAGTCTCTAAACTGTATTGTATATTCTTAAGTAGGAAAAAATGGCATAATAGATCTAGGACTAGGCATGGGCTTCTTTAGCCCGGTCTGTGCCGAGTTGTTGGGGTCAGAGCCCAGGCTGGCCAAGCTTAGGCCCGGTCCCCCACAATAATTTATTGAAATGCCTTTTTAACTTTATAAAAATACCATTAGGCTCCAATTCTCCGTTCTTTTGTTTTTTTTGGGATAAGTCAGTGGGAGAGAAGAAGAAGATACAACTCATAAATTTACAACCCTAGAATAGGGCAAGCTTGCTATATCATGCAACAACCCGAGAGAAAGAAAACCAGGCGATTTAGATCATCAGTGGCATTTGAGAAAACTGTAGCCTTCTTTGTACGAATATCAGCAACCATATTGGCCTCATAATAAACATAGACTAAAGACCAAACGCAACCTGAAAGTTTATAGCGACAATTAATAGCCAATTCTCCATTCTCTCAAGAACATACTCCTTTTCCACGAGCCAAGTTCTCCCACAAACAAATTTGCCTAAAAATGAATCACTAATTAACTTCTCCCTTATCTCTCTCAATCTTTTACCGACTTGGTAGCCTGTACTCAACATTGACATTTCTAGGGATTCATCATCATCATCATTTTAACTTTTTTTTAACTATTTGGTTCGGCTACACACATCTTAGTCCGTTATTCTACTCTATCAAGAGTCATACCTTAGTGACATTCCCAAGTATTATCGCACAAAAATAAACAACCGGAAAGTTCGTTCATCCAATGGCTCTGCTAACATAAACCGCATCTAAGTTCTTTTCTCGCCATCAATACTATCAAGCTCAAGCTGTATGTATGGTACCACTGCATGCGCCAAAAGCACACATTAAAAATCATGGTCTTGCAGTCAAAATAACCATGCAAAGATGTCTAGAAAGTGAAAAGCCCATATCTCTCTCTCTCTCTAGAAAGTGAAAAGTTATAGGGCATTTTATTGAATTCTTGGTAAGAGAAAAATGGTAACTCGTACTGTCCTGATTTCTAAATCACCATTCAGTTAAATCGGTTTTAATTACAAAAAGTCGTTTTGGGAAGTTTGAATATCAAAAGCCTTAATAAGTTTCGATCATAAATGGCATGTCTCTAACGCCTTATGATGGTAGATTTTTATTGTTTTGTTGTTCAATTAGTTTTAATAACAAAACGTTTTGAAATTCAATGGAAATTAATGTAGTGTCTCTTCCAGTTCGAGTATAATTGTTAAAACGGCCATTTATCATGTAAGGCTGCGCCTCTATACTCCCTCTTTCACCACGTTCTCTCTCTCATGACTAGTGTCATATTATACACCATGGGTGCACCACAATATCCCACTGGGTGAGCTATTTTCTCCTCTCCTCTAGTTTCATACCAGTTTTTTTGGCGTTCCATCTGGCCTATAGTTTTTGTATTCAAATTGGGGATTGTATACAATGGAGACTATTGAGGTCATAATTGCTTATAACCATCCGATGTGAAATTTGATAGCGTAATTGTATCATAAAGTTTAAAAAAATTTCTTTTGAACTTTGTGCTTGGTCAATAGAATAAATGTAACCACCCATTTTAACATTCAAAGGTGAGGTAACTGTGACCACCTTGTCCAAAAGATAAATAGTCTAATTGTATACTTTTTCTTTCAAATTATTCTTACTTGTTTTCCATAATCTCATTAAGATAAATATTCTCATTGTATACTTTCCGTTCAAATTAATCTTACTCTTTTTCCATAATCTCATTAAAAAGACCTGTTAGCTGAAATTAGGTTACCCATAATCCATAAAATGGGTAAGGGGACAAGAAAAACTGAGAGCATGGGTTTGGCCTTCAAACCATATGAATTGCTCATTCCCTCCACTTTTTCCTTGAAATAGTGGAGGCCTCACACTAACAAAAAGGAAGCCCCTCAATGGGATTGGTCGGTTCCACAATAACCATTAAAAACAAGAAATCTAATAATAAAGTGTTGGTGAAGAAGATCCACAACACCTGCCACTAAATTTCCCATCTATAAATCTCTCTCAACCCTGCCTGTTTTGTTGTGCATGTTTACTATGCTTGGCTGAGTTACCCATGCTTCTCTCAAACTGAGCTTTTGGTCATATATACTTATTGATAGCATTGGGCATTAAGAAAAGTTCATAGGACTCTGAACTGATTCTTCGACGAAAAGCCCGAAAGACCCATCAATTTTCTATTCAGAGAAACTTTTTGTAGGACATGGTCTAGTGAATTGATGTTGATAGCCATGGAATTCCTTTTGAGGTTCTCAGTTGCTCTTTTAAGTTTGGACAATGCTCTGGCAATGACTCCTTGGATTGTGAACTGATACTCTTGAACAAATCCTAGAATCCATCAAATCTGTAGGGTGAAAAGCTCTGTTTACGAGCTGCTCTAGGGAATTGAGTTCACGAACCATGTTGGTCCTTCACAGGTTCTCACCGATTCTCTGCATTTTATTTCTCTTCCACGTCTTTTCTAGTGATTTAGTACAGGGAAGAGTTCATCACCATTCAAAGCACAGGAATTCTTATGTTGAAGCCTCCATTTTTGAACCACAATCACCATCACCTTCACCTTCACCATCACCGTCAATGTCACCTTCACCTTCACCTTCACCAGTTAACTCAAGCTCTTATAACTCTTCCTCACCTTCACCCTCACCCTCACCTTCACCTTCACCTTCACCTGTTAAATCAAGCCCTTATAACTCTTCCTTACATTCTCCAACACCTTCGCCTTCACCAGTTAACTCAAGCTCTTATAGCTTTTCACCTTCACCTTCACCTTCACCTTCACCTTCACCAGCAAACTCAGGCTCTTATAACTCTTCCTCCTCTCTGGATGTATTTGATGTGAGATATTTTGGAGCTAAGGGTGATGCCATAACTGACGATACAGAGGCATTAAAAAAAGCATGGGCAGCAGCATGCCTAGTAGAAATGGCTATTCTTCTTGCTCCAGCAGGCTTTACCTTCATGATACAATCCACAATTTTTGCAGGCCCTTGTCAACCTGGACTGATTTTTCAGGTACCTTACACTTAATTCCTGCTAATCTCAGAATTTTCTTTGGAGAGAGAGAGAGAGAGAGAGAGAGATGCATGCTAACATTGATTGAAAGCAACTGCATTTTCATTCAATTGTTTGAAAAGTACAACTAACCATAAGACATCACAGAGAGATAGAGAGGAAAGAGCTAATTCAACTATAGAGACTAACAATTTTTTGAATTTGGTGGAAAGGTGGATGGCACACTGATGGCACCAGATGGCCCGGATTCCTGGCCAAAGAACAATAGTAGGCGGCAATGGCTAGTTTTCTTCAGAGCTGATGGCTTGAGCCTCAAAGGAGGTGGACTTATTGAAGGAAAGGGAGAAAAATGGTGGAACCTCCCTTGCAAACCTCACAGAGTACATGCAAAAACCATACAGAACCACTAATTTCTTTCACTAAATATATGGAATTCCAGTTTAAATATGAGCCTACTAACCTTTTAATCCTTCACAAAACAGGGCGTAAATGGATCGACATTACCGGGGCCTTGTGATAGTCCTGTTGTAAGTTTTTTCAATCTTGGGTTTCCAAAATTTCAATAGTTTTTAAAATATCAAATGACCGACACTCATGGCTCTATAATCATTGCTTCTGCTACAGGCAATACGGTTCTTCAAGAGCTCAAATCTCACAATGAAAGGTCTTAAACTTCAGAACAGCCCCCAATTTCATATCATATTTGACAGCTGCCGAGAAGTCTTTGTGGACTCTATTTTCATAACTACTCCTGCATTAAGTCCCAACACGGATGGCATTCATTTAGAGAATACAGAATCTGTTAGAATTTACAATTCCATCATCTTCAATGGTAATAATAGTTTAAGAAAAGAAAGAAAAGAGATTCAAAAGACTCTTCAAAAGTTTTTAATCTGCATTCCATATCTTATTCTGCAGACGATTCTGAATTCACATTTCTTTTTCGCAGGTGATGATTGCATATCAATCGGAGCAGGGTGCATGAATGTTGATATACAAAATGTAACTTGTGGACATAGCCATGGCATCAGGTCCACTATCCATTACATTCTCTTGATTGCAACATAATTATATAAAGAATGAAAATGACTCTCTCCTCTCTCTCAAGTTCAATATTGTTCCAATTCAACAATGGACAATACTTGTGAGTTCAAACTCTTGCGTCACTGCATTCAAAGATCACTTAAAAGGTACAATTAGTACTTCATGAACTAACAGATTGCTTTCTTCATTCTGTGCAGCATAGGAAGCCTAGGCAACCATAACTCACATGCCTGCATATCGGATGTTAGAGTACGCAACACAGTCATAAGGAATTCAGACAATGGAGTTAGAATCAAGACATGGCAAGGTGGCGCTGGATTAGTAACCGGGGTGAGCTTCAAAGACATTTGCATGGACAATGTGAGGAACCCCATAATCATAGACCAATACTACTGCCTCTCCAAAGATTGCAGGAACCAGACCTCGGCTGTGGCGATTTCCGGAATTTCTTACTCCAGAATTCAGGGGACCTATGATATTAGAAGCCCTGCTGTTCACTTAGCATGCAGTGATACAGTGCCTTGTGCAAACATCTCTCTAGCTGAGATTGAGTTGATTCCTTTCAAAGGAGAGAGAATTGCTGCTCCCTTTTGTTGGAATGCATTTGGGGGATCCCAAACACTAACTACTCCACCTGTTTTTTGCTTGCAAGAGGGGGTCCCCAAGGCCATAGCTGAGACCACAGATGATTATTGTTGATTCCATTAGAGATACCACTGTGTATAAAAAAAGAAATTAGGGGAGCCTTGATCATGGTATTAACAGAGGAAGTATAGTTTATGAAATGTTGGTCCTAGCTGGAGTTTTAAAACAAGTGTAAAACTATAGTTTAAAGACAGTACATGAAAGGTACAAGGCTTTTGTAGTGCTTTAATTATTGCTGTTATCTAGAACTTAGAAGTAATGGTTTGTCATTTTTGTCCTTTTATGTTGATTCCCAACTTAATGTATATGTTGTTGATGATAAAGCTTTTTATGGGTTGCACATGCATTCACCTTTTGATTGAGAGAGAGATTCCACTGAAACTGCCTCAGAAGCTCAGAAGTAAGGGAAAATGTATCAAAAAGTGGGTCAAGGGGTTCAGGTAAAATAAGGTAAGAGATACTGAAATGAATTCATGAGAGTGAGTGAAGAGATACAGAGAATTGATGAAAAAGAATAGAAATAGTAAGGTGGGAGTGAGTGGTCCTGGGTAAAGAAATGGAGGGCATGCAGCCGTTGTGACGTCTTTCGGAAAAGGCGCACAAAGCTAAACAACAAAAGCAACGATCACAAAACTCCCTTTTCCTCTCTCTCTCTCCCAACGCCCACAACTGCCTTCTTTCCGCTGCCTCTAATCTATATTCCCGGCTAGGAAGCAACGAGTGGCCGGCCCCCTCTAGGCACAATTAAAACAAAATAATACAAAAAATATGAAAAATAAGAGGCGGTTGGGCCAAGCCTGTCTTTGCCTGGCCTAGGCCCGAACCTCGAGCCGCCTAGGCCTGGCCCAGGCCATGCCAATTAGCCCTTTGTCATCCGTATTCACGAGCCCCTCTTCTCTCTCCTTTTTTGTGGGAAATTCAGTGGGGAAGATAGGCCCGGGTGGTGTCAGTATGATTGAAAACTATAACATAGTCATTAGGTATAGGGGTGCTACCACCGTGACCTAAGCCCTTTACCTGGCCCCACTTTTTTTTTCTTTTTTTTTTTCTAATAATTCATATATATTTTTTTTTGATAATTTGTAGGGAAGACAGGTTGTAAGTAAATTAAGAGTTAGCTTTTAAAAGATATTAATGAAGTGGTATTAATGTTGGAAATGAAAACTACAATGTGGTGACTAGGGTGTAGAGTGCTACCACCGTGACTCAAGCCCCTTTCCCGGGCCATCTGTCTCTCCAAGTGTCATTTGTTACCGCTATTTCTTTGTCTCTCCATAGGTCATTTGTCACCCGTATTTCCGGGTACATTTTCTCTCTCCAAGGGCCACTTCTATTGCTATAAGTATGTCAGATAGAGAGAGAGAGCTGAGAATCAAGTCAAACTGATCTAAAAAAGAAGGTTATCTAATTGATCTAAAAGAAGGTTATCTCGGAAAATTATGAACCTATTTTTGCTAAGAGAGAGTATTATTGCATTACGAATATAAATAAAGTACATTTGAGTATGATACACCATAATTATCTGTGTATGATCCAAAAGAATATTATCTCGGGAAATTATGAGCCTATTTTGGCCAAGAAAGAGCATTATTGCATTTCAAATATAAATAAAGTAACTTTGAGTATGATACTCCATAATTATTTGTGTTTGATCCAAAACAAGGTTAACTTGAGAAATTATGAGCTTATTTTTACCTAGAGAGAGTATTATTGCATTTCGAATATAAATAAAGTTATTTTGAGTATGATACTCCATAGTTATCTGTGTTTGATCCAAAAGAAGCTTATCTCGGGAAATTATGAGCCTATTTTTGTCAACAGAGAGTATTATTGCATTTCAAATATAAATAAAGTACATTTGAGTATTATATTCCATAATTATCTATGTTTGATCCAAAAGAAGGTTATCTCAGGAAATTATGAGCCTATTTTTGCCAATAAAGAGTATTATTGCATTTCAAATATAAATAAAGTATCTTTGAGTATGATACTCAATAATTATCTGTACTTGATCCAAAAGAAGGTTATCTCGAGAAATTATGAACATAATTTTGCCAAGAGAGAGTATTATTGCATTTCAAATATAAATAAAGTACCTTTGAGTATGATACTCCGTAATTATCTGTGTTTGATCCAAAAGAATGTTATCTTGGGAAATTAGGAATCTATTTTTGCCAAAAGAGAGTACTATTGCATTTCAAATATATATAAAGTACCTTTGAGTATGATGCTCCATAATTATCTCTGTTTGATCCAAAAGAAGGTTATCTCGAGAAATTATGAACCTATTTTTGCCAAAAGAGAGTACTATTGAATTTCAATTATATATAAAGTACCTTTGAGTATGATGCTCCATAATTATCTCTGTTTGATCTAAAAAAATATTATCTCGGTAAATTATGCCCCTATTTTTGCCAAGAGAGAGTATTATTGCATTTCAAATATAAATAAAGTACATTTGAGTATGATACTCTATAATTATCTGTGTTTGATCCAAAAGAAGGTTATTTCAAAAAATCATGAGCCTATTTTTGCCAAGAGAAAGTATTATTGCATTTCAAATATAAATAAAATACCTTTGAGTATGATATTCTATGATTATCTATGTTTGATCAAAAAGAAGGTTATCTCGAGAAATTTTGAGCCCATTTTTGCCGAGATGGAGTATTGTTGCATTTCAAATATAAATAAAGTACCTTTGAGTATTATACTCCACAATTATCTGTCTTTGATCTAAAAGAAGGTTATCTCGAGAAACTTTGAACCTATTTTTGCCAAGTGAAAGTATTATTGCATTTCAAATATAAATAAAGTACCTTTGAGTATGATACTTCATAATTATCTGTATTTGATCTAAAAGAAGGTTATCTCGAGAAATTATGAACCTATTTTTGTCAAGATAGAGTATTATTGCATTTTTAATATAAATAAAGTACCTTTGAGTATGATACTCCATAATTATCTGTGTTTGATCCAAAAAAATATTATGTCGGAAAATTATGAGCCTATTTTTGCCAAGAGAGAGTGTTATTGCATTTCAAATATAAATAAAGTATCTATGAGTATGATACTCTATAATTCTCTGTGTATGATCCAAAAGAAGGTTATTTCGGAAAATTATGAGCTTATTTTTGACAAGAGAGAGTATTATTGCTTTTCAAATATAAATAAAGTTCCTTTGAGTATGATACTCCATAATTATCTGTGTTTGATCTAAAAGAAGGTTATCTCGAAAATTTATGAACTTATTTTTGCCAAGAGAGAGTATTATTGCATTTCAAATATAAATAAAGTATATTTGAGGATGATACTTCATAATTATCTGTATTTGATCCAAAAGAAGGTTATCTCGGGAAACTATGAGCCTATTTTTGCCAAGAGATAGTATTAATGCATTTCAAATATAAATAAAGTACTTTTGAGTATGATACTCCATAATTATCTTTGTTTGATCCAAAAGAAGTTTATCTTGAGAAATTACGAACCTATTTTTTCCAAGAGAGAGTATTATTGCATTTCATATATAAATAAAGTACCTTTGAGTATGATACTCTATAATTATCTGTGTTTGATCCAAAAGAATATTATCTCAGGAAATTATGAACCTATTTTTGCCAAGAGAGAGTACTATTGTATTTCAAATATAAATAAAGTACCTTTGAGTTTGATACTCCCTAATTATCTGTGTTTGATAAAAAAGAAGGTTATCTTGGGAAATTATGAACCTATTTTTGCCAAAAGAGAGTATTATTGCATTTTAAATATAAATAAAGTACTTTGTGTACTATACTCCATAATTATCTGCGATCGATCCAAAATAAGGTTTTCTCGATAAATAATGAACCTATTTTTGCCAAGAGAGAGTATTAATTCTTTTCAAATATAAATAATGTACCTTTGAGTATGATACTTCATAATTGTCTGTGTCTGATCCAAAAGAAGGTTATTTCGAGAAATTATCAACAAATTTTTACCAAGAAAGTTATTATTGCATTTCAAATATAAATAAAGTACTTTCGAGTATCATACTACATAATTATCTATGTTTAATCCAAAAGAAGGTAATCTCGAGAAATTATGAACATATTTTTCAATTCAAAGACAAATAAAGTATCTTTGAGTATGATACTCCATAATTATCGGTGTTTGATCCAAAAGAAGGTTATCTCGAAAAATTATGAGCATATTTTAACCAAGAAAAAGTATTATTATAGTTCAAATATAAATAAAGTACCTTTGAGTATGATACACCATAATTATCTGTGTTTGATCCTAACGAAGGTTATCTCGAAAAATTATGAGTATATTTTTGCCAAGAGCTAATATGATTGCATTTCAAATACAAATAAAGTACCTTTGAGTATGATACTCCATAATTATCTCTGTTTGATCCAAAAGAAGGTTATTTCGAAAAATTATGAGCCTATTTTTGCCAAGAGAGAGTATTATTGCATTTCAAATATAAATAAAGTACCATTGAGTAGGATACTTTATAATTAAGTGTGTTTGATCCAAAAGAAGGTTATCTTGATAAAATATAAGCCTATTTTTTCCCAGAGAGAGTATTATTGCGTTTCAAATATAAATAAAGTACCTTTGAGTATGATACTCCATAATTATCTGTGTTTGATCCAAAAGAAAGTTATCTATGGAAATTTTGAACCTACTTTTGCCAAGAGAGAGTGGTATTACATTTCCAATATAAATAAAGTATCTTTGAGTATGATACTCCATAATTATCTGTGTTTGAACCAAAAGAATGTTATCTCGAGAAATTATGAGCCTATTTTTGCCACGAGAGAGTATTATTGTATTTAAAATATAAATAAAGTACCTTTGAGTATGATACTATATAATTATCTGTGTTTGATCTAAATGAAGGTTATCTCGAAAAATTATGAGCCTATTTTTGCCCAGAGAGAGTATTATTACATTTCAAATATAAATAAAATACATATGAGTATGATACTTTATAATTATCTGTGTTTGATCCAAAAGAAGGTTATCTCAAGAAATTATGAACCTATTTTTGTCGAGAGAGAGTATTATTGCATTTCAAATATAAATAAAATACCTTCGAGTATGATACTCCATAATTATCTGTGTTTGATTT